ACTCCAGAACAGGATGGCCCTAGATATGATTCTAGCTGAGAAGAGTGGTACATGCAAAATACATAGACATGGTAGACATTTGTTGCACTTACATCCTAGACAACACAGGCCCAAATGGCAAAGTCACATTAGCCATAAAGAAACTTTTGGGATCAGTATTTTTGGATGGTTCACTAGCTGGAAACAGACACTAGTGCAGCTTGCTATTGTTATCCTGATTTATATTGATTACCATAGGTTTTGTGGTTTGCTACATCTTCCCGTGTATTAAGAAGCTTATGAACAAAGGAATAGGTATGAGTATGTAGGCAGAAGAGATCTAAGAACAAACTGCCCCACTGAACCAAAAAAAAAACCTAAAGAGTACCACAGTTATCTAGCCAAAATATAGAAAGAAGCAGAAAAAGAACTATGTTGTATAAGGAAGAATAAAAATCATATATGTAAATAATGATTTTAAGAGGGATTGAAGGGAAATGTATGTCTTTTAGGTCTGTCATTTTATTTATCCCACTCAATTTTGTACTAACATGTTGATTAATTGTTTTGTATTATACCCAGAATGAGTTAATGAAAATATGCTATGTTAGGTTAGCCTTGGTAGAGGAGATAGTATTCAATTATTTCTTTATACTAACAGCACCTGTTTCTGTTATGATATAATTAAAAGTCAAATACTTCTGTCCCATGGGAAAATAATTGTTGGATACTTGTAACTGATTTCAAGGCCTGAGAAAGTCATGTTCACAGCCTTGACAAGTATCTAGCGAGATTCTATTGTATGTAGTAGATAAGTGTTTTAAAACAATGTAGAAACTTTCTTTATTGTTGGGAAAATGAAACCCCGCTTCTCATCACTTTTTAGAATTGACGTCAATGTTGTCTTATTTGTATTCAGCCAATCAATTACTGACAACTCAGCTTTTTGATACTCTGTGCCCCCACCTTTCTTTTTTCTTTTATATTAATTTCCTTCCCGCTAATAAACTTGAGAGATTAATTTCACCTATCACTGTGTGTATGTCTTTCTCTTCTGAGGTGAAGTCAATCTCCCCCGACGCGTCCGTACCTGAAACCGACTATAAAGACTGATAGCCAGGGGCTATGGACAACCTTTCAGTGGGATTATTTTTTTCAATGTCATATAGGTGAGCATGCAAACTGTCTCCATGTTGTTCTCCCTACATACTGAATTGAGAAAATTTTACAAGTGATTAAATAAATAATAAAACAGGTATTGCAATTTATAAATAAAGCTATCTTGATTTCCCTATCCCTAACAGTAGATTTAATCACCTCACTCTTCAGTATGTGCATAGAACAAGGACATCTGTTGTTTCTACATTTATAATTTCCTTTAAATGTCCTTTAAATTGTAGCCATGTACCCCTATTCTTATTCTGTATAGAAAAATAACTGGTTGATAAGTACCCAAAGCGGGTGCACATCTAGACACTATTTTGATACCATTTTCCAAAACCTCAGTGTAGACTAGACAATTATAAAGGATGTGTAGATACCTCACAATTATTTTTATGATCTTATTGAATGCAATGCTATATCCAGTTGAAAAAAACAGGTTTTCTAATAAATATCAGTGTTGTGTAATTAATTTATCCCACAAAATGATTTTGCAGTCTTAACATCTCTATTAAGAACTGATTCGGTGGCTTTTATACCTGCACTCTGCCTGTATGTCTTTTTTTTTTTCATTTTTTTGAGAGATTGCCCACTTTAAAAGTCCTATTTATATCTATACATTGCTGTATCCTGTGGTAAGATTGCCAAACATTAACTGGGGATGTTGTGGAAATTATCAGACTTTACCCCCATGACATTGCTTAATAACAAAAATATGTATATCTCCAAAATACCACCCCCTTAAACAAAAGCCTTTTTTAAGAGAAGAGCAATTCTATTATAGACAGGAAAGCAGTTGATTGTTGCTTCCAAATCAACAAATCTAAGGATAACAGATAAAAAAAAGAAGACAGCAAAGGGAGTGATTGCCCAAACAGCGATAATTCACAAGTAAACAGTTTCCCAACTGACCCTAGTCTCTCTCAATGCAGTCTGCCATCTTTGTTCCTCCAGTTGATAATTTGGCTGTGCTACATCATTATTTTTTATAGTGGGGGATGCTGGTTTATCTAAAAGCTACTTTATTGGCCCTTTAAACCTGCTGGCTAAGGTACAAAGGCCATGCAAAGCATTTTAGTTAAAAAGAAACAAAAATACGTGTGACAAATTTGCACATTTTATTTTACAATCCTGAACCCACAGGATTCACCATAAACCCAAGGTTGCAGGGGATCTGAACCACATTCTTATTGGTCATACATGTATCTTGAAGATCATTTGCGTAACTCTTATCTTCTCCCTCCTCAAAGCACACTGAAAAAAGAGAACACTACAGTTCACTAAAATGTATATGAGAGGTCATCTATTGCCACCAGCCATGCCTACAGCTTAGGGCAAGTGCACCAGACAGAACCTCTACACCTTTGCTGTGAGAATAATAAGGTTTGCTGACCACTATTGGAGCAGGCTCATTTGCGGATGAAATGGTTTGATATACACAGCCAAACAACTATAAAATTTTGCCTCCAGCAAATCAGCTTGATTCACTGCTAATCCAAGTTGAAGCAGATTGATTCTTCTAACTAACAGACTAAATAAAGCTTTTTCCTCACCAGGTCATTGCTCTGTATTTTGCATACTTTTGTTTCACAATGTAAATGCTACCATGATGATAATATTACCTGTCATAAACATTTACTTTCTGAGAAGATATAGTTTCATCTCACACTTAGTATTTAATATAACTTTTTCCCAATATTTATACAGTATTTCATACAGTAGGTGCAACAGTTCTGATTGCTGAATGTGTTTTCCATCACTAGCACTAGCCTTAAATAAGGCAACATTTACATTTATATTTCATCGACTGCTAAGCATCTAAGTACATTACTTGTTATGTTTAATCACATCATACTGTGAATCAGTGTAGCAAAAGCCAGAAAAAAATATTTTCTTATTTTGTGATGAATTCAAAAGGGAGGCGAATCACACCAAAATACACAATACCCAATCTTTGAGGTAATTATTGAAGGGGTTTCAGCACACGGTAGGGTGGAGAGATGGTAAGCAAATGTAACCAGTAGCAATTAAATGTCTTTAAAGGGGGGTTCCACCCCCAAAAGGGGAAGCTCTGCTTGTCTGCCTTTTCCCTCCCTCCAACATTTGACACTTTTTTTTGGAGGGGGGGGGAGCAGGTACCTGGTTCTGACAGGTAACTGCTCCCACTTTTGGCTCAGTTCGCTGCAGCCCTCCTCCTACCCCCCACAGTCTCCTGGGACACTTCACAGGTCCCAGAAGACTACTGAACCATTCAGAGAGGAGCAGCAGGACTCACATGCGTGGTGGGCACCCGGCTGTGAAGCCGCAAGCTGTCACAGCCTGGTGCCCACACTGAAGATGCCAGAGCCAGGGGGAGAAGAGGGAGAGAAGGGATGGCGCAGGTGAGCACATCACTGGATCCTTGAACAGGTCGAGTGTCTGTTTATTAAAAGTCTTCAGCTACAGTTTTTGTACCTGATGACTTTTAATAAACACAAAACCAACTGGAACTCCGCTTTAAAAAAAGAAATATCACCAAAATGTTTATTTTTTATTTCATTGCCCAGACACTACAAGCACTTGGTCCCATTTGGAGTCATCCTGTCATTGCTAAGCAGTGTGGTTGGACACCACTTTCCAACCATGGTGTTAGCAAGATGGAATTGTGAGAGACAGCTCTGATCTCTGACAGCAGGGGCCACTCTGGTGGCCAGCACACACTATAATTCCCAACAGATCATCAGGACTGCTGGCTGTATGATTACATGTGGCTGCTTGTAAATGTACACAGCACTGGCCAATGGATCACACAGCTCTGCAGCACTAAGAAACGTTTTACTATTGTGAATGAATAAGCAGTTCCTACAGGGCACTGGCCCCAACAGAGCTGATTGTTCATTCATATTAGTAAAAGATAACCTAGCACTAAAAGCCTGTGGGATCTATCTGCAGGGATGTGTATGTTAACAGGCAGCTGTGGATAGCATACAGAACTGCAGCACTGAGTAATCTTTTACTATTAGAAAAGAACAGGCAGGTCCTGAGGGGTTGTGTGATAGAACTTCCACTATCATGTACAGGAAACATACAGTGCTTTTAATTTACAACAGGACCACTGATTGAATGGGACCAAGTGCTATGTGTACTTGGTCCCCAAGGGGATTAAATAGAAGTTTACAGGGTACTATGATAATGTCCTCTGTGTGGTCACTAGGTGCAAGTGGGTATTCTTACACCAGAAGCTATTCGTTGGTTTACAATACAAGGGTCGCCATCCAGGAATTCACACTAGTGAAGAAGTGTCTCAATAACATCATAGACAAGTTTCATTGTTTCAATTGCAGCACATAGCAAATATTAGGGTCATGTGTTTTGTTCAATAAAAACCTTTTCTGGAAGGACCAAACATTGTTTAACCACTTGCCCTCCAGAGGATTTATCCCCCCTTCCTGACCAGGCCATTTTTTGCGATACGGCCCTGCATTGCTTTAACTGACAATAGCATAGTCATGCAACGCTGTACATTAATGAAATTTATGCAATTTTTTTCCCCACAAATAGAGCTTTCTTTCGGTGGTATTTGATCACCTCTGCGTTTATTATTTTTTGCACTATAAACAAAAAAAAAAAAAACCACAACAATTTTGAAAACAAAAAAACATATTTTTGACTTTTTGCTATTAAACATGTCCAGTAAAAATATTTTAAAAAATCAAATTTCATCATAAATTTAGGGCAAAATGTATTCTTCTACATGTCTTTGCTAAAAAAAAATTCCAATACATGTAAAGTAATTGGTTTATGTGAAAGTTATAGCGTTTACAAATGGCGGTATATATACTGGAATTTTTTTTTAACTAGTAATGGTGGCAATCAGCGACTTATAGCGGGACTGCGGTGGGCATTCTGACACTGGGAGGGAACTGACTAACTGTCACTGACATACCCAGTGACACCAATACAGTGATCAATGCTAATAAAAAGCACTGACACTGTACTAATGACACTGGGCAGGAAAGGGTTGACATGTGGGGTGATCAAAGGGTTAACTGTGTGCTTTTTTACAATGTGGGCTGTGCGAGTGCTTTCCACTGTAAGCACACTGCTTTGTATGGCTCTGCTAGGTAGAGCCATACAAAGCAGAGTGCAGGAGCTGACAGGGGAGAGATCTGTATTGTTTACATACAGGTCTCTCCCCCGTCGGTGATACTTGGCAATCAGCAGGTCCCAGTGACTGACAGCCAAGGCCGCCAATGGTGGCGAGCGCATGCCCCCTACCAGAAAATGCAAAATCACGTGATTTTGCACAGCTGCTCCGCCCCGGTAGCAATATTTCTGTTATAGGGCAGCACGGAAGCGGATAATGAGCAAACGGCCAAAGGCAGTCTGGATTTCCCTCTCAGCTGTCAGTTTACTCATGTAATTTACATATTTATTTATTTATTTATTACCTTTTATTTAACCACTTGCCTACCAGGCACTTTTACCCCCTTCGCGACCAGGCTCATTTTCAGCTTTCAGTGCTGTCGCACTTTGAATGACAATTACGTGGTCATGCAACACTGTACCTATATGAAATTTTTATCATTTTTTCACACAAATAGAGCTTTCTTTTGGTGGTATTTAAATCACTACTGGGGCTTTTTATTTTTTGCACTATAAAGAAAAAAAGAGCAAAAACTAAAAAAAAAAAGTTTTCCTTTCTTTCTATTATAAAATTTGGCAAACAGGTAATTTGTCTCCTTCACTGATGTGCATTGATGGGGCTGTGCTGATAGGCAGCACTGATGGGAACTGGTGAGTCAGCGCACCAGCACTGAGATGGCACTGGTGGGAATTGATGAGGAGGCACTGATGATGCTGCACTGATATGCAGCAATGATGGGCACTGACAGGTGGCACTTATGGAGGGAGAAGGTTTTACGGCCGGACAGTCATACAGTCATAGGCTACCTGCACTATCCCAAATCTTCCTTCAACAGTTACAAATGTATAGGAAAGGCAGCGTGAAGAGACTACGGGGAGCTGTTTTTTTCACCCCACCACTGGAGCATGCAGAGTTTTCCTCCTCCTCAAGGGCACATAGAGTGAATTTATTAGTGGACTACTAATGCACTCTTTTCCCAGGAGTCTTGAGGACTTTTCTCAGCTAAGCACACCCTCCTGCCTGCATGCCTAAGATAAGGGCAGATGGATTCCAGGAAGTTAATGCTACAGGACCCTCCTGCCCGTACTCGAGATGATGGCCATGGGCAGGAATGCTAGAGGGGTGATATTCAAAGTGATTTCCCACTGCTTTCAGTTTGCTTTGAATATTAAAAATTTATTAAATTTTGATTTGTGGTGCTTAGATGAAGTGTAGTTTTTTTTTAAATATACAATCACCGGCCACTTTATTAAGTACACCTTGCTAGTGCCAAGAAAAATAAAGCCCCACCATTACACCACCACCACCAACCTGAACCATTAATACAAAGCAGGATGGATCCATGCTTTCATGTTGTTTACACCAAATTCTGACCCTACCATCTTAATGTCACAGCTGAAATCAAATGCCCATTCTCCTCTGACATCAACAAGGCATCTTCATCCAAACAACTTTCGCTCATATTTTCTCTTTTTTGGACCATTCTCTGTAAACCCCAGAGATGGTTGTGTGTGAAAATCCCAGTAGATCAGCAGTTTTTTGAAATACTCAGACCAGCCCGTTTGGCACCAACAACCATGCCACATTCAGAGTAATTTAAATCCCCTTTCTTCCCCATTCTGATGCTCGGTTTTAACTTCAGCAAGTCACCACGTCTACATGCCTAAATGCATTGAGTTGTTGCCATGTGATTGGCTGATTAGCAATTTGTGTTACCAAGCAATTGAACAGTTGTACCTAATAAAGTGGGTGGTGAGTGTATATGGGACTGTAGGCAGTATGTTTATTCTTTAACAAAATAAAAGACCACAACTTTAGTTTTTTGGTACTAATTTTGCCGCGCGGTCGTTTTATTATTGGTATAAATGTAATTATAATATTTTATAATAACTTTTTATTTGTACATATTAACTTAATAATATTTTAATTTTTTTTTCTTAGATTATTACTAATCAACACTACTTTAGTCACTGCGACTCAAGCTGTACATATTAAAACAACACTTATCAACCATACCTATCTAACCATCCATCGTATTTCAAATAAACATACGGAATTGTCCTCCTTTGAAAAAGGTGACCCAACCAATAATAATTGACTGCGACAACAAAAAGGGGGCTGGTAGGAGGTGAGCACCACAGAGATGTCTCCCAGGTTTCTGCTTCCCCTGTGAACAGAACCCCCCTTTTATAGCTCTCTCCTCACTCTTATTCTTATTTATTTCAGGTACTTATATAGCACCATCAATTTATGCAGTGCTTTACATATATATTGTACATTCACATCAGTCCCTAACCCGCAAGGGGTGTACAATCTAAAGTCCCTAACTCATATTCATACATACACATACTAGGGCCAATTTAGACAGGATCCAATTCACCTACCAGCATGTCTTTGGAGTGTGGGAGGAAACTGGAGTACCTGGAGTAAACCCACGCAGTCACAGGGACGATATGCAAACTCCAGGCAGGTGCTGCCATGGCTGGGATTCAAACTAATGACCCTAGTACTGCCAGGCTGAAGTGCTAACCATTTAGCCACTGTGCTGCCCATATATTTAACTGATTGGCCAATTTTGCCTTTCAGGAATGCCCAGGTGTAGTGGGGGGCTAAAAACTCCAATTTTCTAGAAGCCTCCACTTTTATATTAATATATAACGGGGGGGGGGGGCTTGAAACTTTTAACATTTTGCTCTCCCCCTCACACTAATGGGGGGACTAAAAAACCCTGCTGACCTTTTAGAATTTTTCCCATCGTATAAATACAGCTGGGGGGGGTGCTTAACATTTTTTTTCCCTGCCACAGTCCCATAAGGAAAGGGGGGGCCCTATTAAATCCCCCCATTTTCCTATTCTGCTGCGCTCAGCCTCCTCCAAATTCCTTTTTTCTTTGTTTTGCTGTGATCTGTCATGAAAGGGTGACTACATTCGTTCTCCATGTTCCCACTGCGTGGAAGAAGGTAGTCACCCTCTCTTGCTCACTCCCAAAATGCACTATTGACCAGGGATGGAACTGAAAAAACTCATGGGGCCCCCGGGCAATAGGGGATCATGGGGCCCCTGTGTCTTTGCCCACACTCAAAAAAGCCTATAAAAAAAAAGGCTCATGGGGCCCCTACTGACCCCGGGCCCTCGGGCAGTGCCCGAGTGCTCGAATGGTCAGTCCGCCCCTGCCAGGGGCATCTCATGGGGCCCCCTACTGACCCCCGGGCCCTTATCAGCGCTCGAGTTTCCAAATGGTCAGTCCGCCCCTTCTATTGCCTATGGGATGCATAGTGTGCAGGGAGCAGTGCACAGGACCGCAACTAACGTGCACTGCTGGGTCCAAACAACAGGAAGTGAGAGAGAAAAGGAGAGGATTGGGTGTACAGAAGAGGTGATAAGGAGGCAGAAAAACACAGGATGAGAGGAGTTCAAGAAAAATAGATAAAATGGCCAGTAAGCAGTGATTGTGTATGGTGGACTTTACAGAAGAAGGATATCTGGACGATCCTGCCATCCCATCCATCTCTATAGAAGAAGTGATCCAGCCTGTTGTGTCATTGATACAATGAATGCCGGGGATTTTGTCAGCACATAGCTGGCTTCTTGGTTCGCTCGCAGTCTCCAGTGTGTGTTCTCCTCAGTGCGGATCTCTCCCGCCCCTCTCTGCTCTCCTCTCTGCTCTCCTCTCCCCCTCCCGGCAGTGTCGGTGCTGCTCTGCCATCTCTCCATCTCTGCGCTCTGTCTCCGGCACCGTCTGGAATTGCCGTCCTATTGCACTGCCTGGGAGAGTCTCTTTGCCGGGGATCCCGTCATGCTAAGCCGCTGCTCCTCTCTTGCCATCTCCGAGTCCCTGCCTCTATAGACATGGTGGCGGGAGAGGCTCACAGACCGGGCTGGACACTTTGGGATTGCCTTTGCTCCTTGCTCCTACCGTCTCTTCTACTAATAATAGCTCGGCCGGGGAAACTCGCAGCTTTTCCTACCTCCCTCAGTGATTGCCAAACCCCGACAGGCTGGAACTGTTCTGGTAAGTGATCCTCCACTGCAGACATTGACACATACGAGGAAGGCTATGCCTCTGTCATCCTCTACGACAGGGAATCGGCTCCTCTGCTACTGCCACTGCTACTGCCACTGCCACTGCCTGCCTGCCATTGGGAGCCTTCCATTGAGTTAACTTGATGAGCAGAGAAGTGGGATGCCTAAAAATCACTACAATTAATGTGACGTACATGGACCAAAAGATGGATGGATGTTGTATAATTATATATATACACAATATACCCACACAAAATATATGTGCATATATATAATATATTTTTCACATATACATGTCCCATATTTCCATATATAATTTTTTCTGTATGTGTCCATATATGTATATATAATATACAATATATTTTTTGCACTATATTTATATCTTCTCATATACATATATTTCCCATACATATTTTCATATATATATATATATATATATATATATATATATATATATATTATAATATACAGTGTATTTCTTATTTATTTTTGTGTATTTATTTCCATAAATATATTTTTTTTCTCTCTTTTTTTTTTTTCCTAGATATTTTTTCTCCATATATTAATATTTTCCCCATATACACATTTTTTCCATATACATTTTTCATATATATTTATACATATTTTTTCATATATATTTTCATATATTCATGGGTTTTTTTTCACACGTGTGTGTATATATATATTTATATATATATATATACACACACACTTTTCTTTTCCACCATATATATTTCCATTTTTTTTTATATATTTTTTTTCTATATATTTGTATTTTTTCTCCCTATATATTTTCATATATATTTATCTATCTATCTATCTATATATCTATCTATCTATATATCACACAAGATACAAATCTTGTCTGCTTTAAGTGGTGCTTTTGGATTTAAAGGTTTTCCATGATATTGAAAAATAAGAATACACCTCTAAATAAATAATACATTGTAAAGTTTCAACTTGAAGCTGCCTGTAAAAAATCTACAATCCACTGTTTATAAAACACTTTTGTTCCCCCTTGTTTACTAATATTGCTTGCATTGTGCTTGGATTATTAGATTTGTTAGTAGTTACTGTATACAATGACTTGGAAATGTTGGCATTCCATGGTGATTAATCATGGCA